TGGGGCGGCTGCCTCAGCCTCAGGCCCCGGCCGGAGCCTGGTGCTGTCTCCCTGGGCCGGCGGCCGGCCTCCCTGCACCTCCACGGCCCAGGCCCATGCCCACAAGGGGACACTGGGTGGTGGGGCCGCGCCTGCAGCCCCGCAATAATCCAGGGCTCCCGCCGGGGCCGCGGCTGGGCCTCCAGCCCGCTCTGTGGGGAGGTCGAGGGGCAGCGGGCTTGACGGACGGGTCTCCCTGCCCAGTAGGCCCCTGGGCTTTCCCACCGGCGACCTATTTAAGCCTCACCTGGGCCCACGGCCAAGAAACCGTCCCTGCCCTCGGGCGCAGAGGCAGGACACGCAGAGCTGCTGGGCACGGTGCCCGGGCACACTGCCCGCCCGTCAGTCTCACTTCCAGTCTTTCTCCAGTTCTCGGGAAGGCCTGCCCGCCCGCCCTGACGTCTCCCGTCACCGCTCTATGCCTGTGCTGGTTTGGGGGCCAAGAGCAGGGAGAGGGACTCCCTGCTGTGTTCCCAGCACCTGGCACACAGTAGGTGCTCAATAAATGCTCTCCAGTGAGTGACAGACGGATGGGCACTGCACAGGGCAGGTCAGGATTTAATGGGGTCGCACTGGAGGGAGATTCTGGCAAACGCCTCCCTTCCCGCCTCCCTGACCCAGAGGCCCGGGCCTCACCTGTAGAAGAGGAAAGAAGCTGATTGGGCCCCGGCCAGCGTGGCTCAGTGGTTAGAGCATCGGCCCACACACCGAAGGGCCCTGGGTTCGATTCCTGGTCAAGGGCATGTGTCTTGTTTGCAGGTTCAATCCCCGGCCCTGGTCAGGGCACATGTGGGAGTCAACCAATCGATGTGTCTCTCTCTCCCCCCACCTTCTACTCTCTCTAAAAATCAATGGGAAAAAATGACCTCAGGTGAGGATTTAAAAAAAAAATAGAAGCGGATTTGAAGGGCAAAGGCCCCAGGGAGCCCAGAGCAGCTGCTGAGACGTGTGGGGGGCACTGGCGGGAGGCCCTCAAGATGAGGCGAAAGCAAGACCTGCCTTCCCTCCCTGGGCTCTGAATGCACCTTCAGCCGGTCCCCGTGGATGACCTTCAGCGACCCTGCCCCCAAATGGGGTTGAGGGGCTGATCAGGGATCAGTGGCTGGGGGAGTGGCTATGAGAGTTTGGCCAGCCAGCCCTACCCCCAATTGGTGTGGGGGCGCTGA